TTGAAGGCCTAGCTGATGACTGAGTAGATGAGTGAGTGAATCCTGGTGCTTGCTTTCCCTCCCTCAGCATGATGAAGTGCTTTTAGGAGGGCTTTTGGCATCCTTTAAGTGGTGAGAGCAGGGATATAGAATTCATTCAGCTCAGGGTCTGCTTTAGCATTTACCAATTGTCTGAGCCTTACTCTCCTTATACATAAAACCTAGATAATAAAGCCAAGTGTGCAGATCTGTTTTGAAGCTTGAAAAGGAATAGCGTATGTGATAGCACAGCACTTGGAACAGGGTCAGTGATCAATAAGGCCAGAAGCCTTTCTCTGTCTACCCTGTCACTTTCACATACGTGACTCATTTAAGTCTCAGAATAATCATATGAAATATGTGTTATCATTATGATAACGTAATGTATGTGTAGACTCCAAATATGATATGATGCAAGTGGTCAATAAATGTTTATTTTTCCCCGTTTTTTTCCTTAATTATATCAACTATCATTCTGTCAACAACCATGTTTTTGCATAAACTATGTGACTATTTTAAAGAATGAGTTGTTAATTTTATATTGTTAACAATTTAAAAGGCAGTCTGGACACCTGGCCTATAACAGAGATTATGTTGATTTTAATAAGTAGACAAAAGCTCAGAGAGTTCATAGACATGAAGTTTTTACCTGATTCTTGCCTTAATGTAGTCAGTTATGAGTAGATTAATTTTATGTTACAAAATATAACAATCATTAGGAAAACATTCTCATAGAAACTATACTTTTACAATTAATTCCAGGTTTTCCTTAGCATATAAAAAGAGTGCTTTTTACTGTCCATGAGAGCAGAAAGTTTTCGATCGGTTTGTAGAACTGAGGGTTGGTTGGATAATACATTGAATCTCTATTTTTTTTTTTGACTGGGAATCAAATTTAAGACATTGTACTTGCCAGTCAGCCACTGTGTGGCTGAGCTATATTCCTGGCTGAGTCCCTCTAAATTTAACTTTGTGTCTTACGGAGTTTCCCATACCAGCTTTAACACCTACTGATTTGTTTGTTAGAATATGATTTGGAGGACCAAAGAGTGGGTGGTACTTATGAAACAGAAAGCTTTATGGTGAAATAATTATGTTCTATGGACAAGCTCCTTAACAAGTTTTACCCTTTATTTCATCCTCTGAAAAATGCATATACTGTGATATCAGTTCTTAACCTGATAGGGCAGTTTTGCAGATTAAATAAGACAATAAATAAATAAGTTAATCCATGTAAATTCTTAATCATGAGGTTCACTATGCATTTGAAGCTCAACAAATGTTAATGACTGTCACTCCAGTGATTGCTAACACCATCACCTCTAGCACTACAGTGATAATATAGACGTTGCTACATTTGGCACAAGATTGCAGAAACATTTAAAAAATGGGTGCTCTGTCTCATGAGGCATAACCGACCCCTGAAGAGTGGGCTGTGAAAACTATTGATTTCATCCCACGTATTTGAAATCATTTTAAAGGGCCTATGCCCACACTACTTAAGTTATTATGGAAAGTATGGGCTTATCTCTGAATCTTGATGCACTTTCAGGGCCACAGGGAGGTCACTCATACCCTTCGTACCATTGCCAAACTTCAACTGTAGAAGGTGTGGGAAAGGGGGCTGAATGTAATTTGAATGCAGGAAAGCCCTTGACAATTTTCTTCATTTGAATTATGATCACTTCTATTTTAATTTTTCTTTCTCCCCACACGAGTATATTAACCTTTCTTAGTTTTGTTGAGTATCAACTGCTCATAATTTGCAAAAGAATATTTTCTCTATCTCTAAATAAACTAGAAAGCTTATTCTACATGGAAATTTATCCAGGTGCCATGCATATTCAAGGAAGAGGGAAGAAGGGAATACAGCTAGGTTGACTGAATTCTTTTTCTTTTGATACTGACCAGTTGGTTTGGCTGCTCTGGAGACTAAATTAATCCAGGTAAATTTCCTAAATAGCTCACTGATAGCTCGAGTGGCAATCTTAAACTGAATGTGTAGTCTGGAAATTTTTGGTTCAGCTATGGACCAACGTGTGAGCATAACTTTAATGGCCATAAAAGTAGGGATCAAAGGGAACCACAGAAATTTTTATCCAATGAACTCTCAAAAATGGAATGCTGAATAGTTCAAATAGGTTTTGTGAATGCAGAAGGTTGAGTATTAGTGATCTTTTTATAGTGGCCTTCTTCCTCAGGATTCTCAGAGCCTTGCCAACATTATTCTTTTAGATGGTTTTCTTAGAAAACTTCTTTCTTCCTTCCCTCTCTCACTCTCTCCTTTCATTCTTTCCTTCCTTCCTCTCTGCCTCTCTCCCTACCTTCTTTTTTCCATATTCTCATGCCACTGTCTGCAAATATTCTGTCTTCCCTAGGTATTTCTTGAGTGCACATCATCTGCCTAGCTGCTGTTTTAGGCATCAGCGTAATCAAGATGGTGGGCATTCCTACTCTCATGAGACTGACCATTTATAATGTTCTAGGATTTCTAGGATATATTTTACCTGATGGATAGATAGCTCCTCAGTCATTCTTGGTTTTATCTTACTGATATCTACATAATGCCTTATAAGTAAGTTTTTCTTTATCTTTTTTGGCTTGGAAGATTTAAGATCTTAGAGAAAAGGAATATTTTGGAACCAAAGGATCAGCTTAACAGGGCAGAGAATGGGACTGGAGTGTCCCTGACACAGTTTCAAGGCTTAAGCAGCTCCAGGACCCTCCTGCTTGCACTGCTCACCTAGATTATAGAGAAGAGGTGAGGTGTGATTAATTAAAAAAAAACAAGGAAGCAAACAAACAAACAGAGTCACAAAGAAAAACAAAATACCAAACCTAACAAAAAACAAAAAGAAAATGGCACACATACTCTTCTATCTAGCTGGTCCCATAGAAATTTCTTTGGCTTGGAAGTGCTCCATCCACTTTGCTTTTAGTCATTGACTGAAAATTAAAGCTGCAGCACTAACACTTAGGAAGCAAATGTGGTTAACTCACCAGCTTCATTTAAAAGAGAATTTATGACCAGCCTACTTGCTGCCCAGTAGTCCCCTCCTTTACCAAAAACAAGTAGAGAAAAGACTTTACACTGACATCAGTTATTGACACTCATTTCCCCAACATCTGTGAAATAGCCTCCAGGAAGAATAGACAGGCAAAGCAGGTATAGCCAGTGGAGGTTGGAATCAAGGCTACGGGGCCTGGGGCTCATGTTGGTACATTGGGGCAGAACTTGTGGACTTCAGGCTACTTATTTAGGAAAAATAATCTTTGTGAAATTTCATCCACTTATTCAAGAGCACATCTGGGAATGAAAAGTAAACCCAAACATCTTTCCTTTTGCCAGACTCAAAAACATTATTTTAATATGTTAACAATTTCCAAGGGGGACAATAGCCATCAGTCAAGAAACAAAACTGATGAGAAATGTAAGTCCATTGGTGTTGTATTTTCCCTATTCTTTGGTTTTCAAGGGATTGATTTCATTTTAGCTCAGAAAGGAGAAAATCCAGCTGAGGGTGTAGATCTCAATGATCTCCTTTCTCAATGATCTGTAGCGCTGCATACAGGAAGAGTGAAATGTGTGTTGTATGGAATTCACGAGCAGATCAGAGAAGAACAGGCAGAATTTAAACAGATTCTGGTTTTGTTTTATTTTTTAATAATTATAGGTAATCAAATGTGGAATATGTGGTCTTGGGAGCAATAATAACAAAAACTATAAATTATTGTTATTGTTATTTTAATATAGTGTGTATAGTATTTTAAAATACTGTCTCATTAAAACTTGCACTATCCATTTTGTGTATGAGTCAGGGTAGATTATGTTATCAGTATTTCAGAGATAGAGTCAAAGTAGACTGCATTATCCCTATTTGAGAGATAAAGAGTCCAGGTAGATTGCATCATCTCTATTTCAGAGATAAAGAAAATGTTTCTCAGAGAGGTTAAAAATATCACCCAAGGCCACACAGCTAACATGAGACAAGCAGGAAAACTAAAATCAGTACTTGTTGACTGGTCTTGGGGGAGCGCTTAAGGAAGGATTCTCTTCTTTGGTTTGGCTCAAACAATAAATAAGATGTCTTTCCACAAGAAAGAATCAATTGGAGACTTAGACCTTCGGTGAAGAAGAGACATTTATCAGGCTGGAGTCCAGTGTTCAACAATGCCCTGCAAAGCAACGTGAATGAAGGCAAATCATTTTGGTTATTGCCATTTCTGTGTCAAGGCTGTGTGCTCTGACTTCAGTGTGAAAGGGCAGGTCTGGCCTGGTGGGTGACATCAAGTATACCCCTCTTTCTCATGGCTGTAACAGTCCCACCATCTCCTGTGTACTCCGATGCTTTTGTTGGGTGTGCATATTCAGTGAATCTCCTGGACCTGTGAACACAAATGGTTTTCAAGATTTGCCTAAAACAATAAAGGTTGCCATTAGAAAAAGAAGCAGATCCCACTGTTCCCTGCATAAAAACAAGAAACAAAATGAATTCACTTGATTGACTCGTCTATTTTCTCAATAGGTCTCTCGATGGGGACAGCAAGTTCTCTATGAGCTAAAATGGCATTGTTTGTGTGAGTGAGTGTGTGCATGCAGACAACCTTATAGCACTGTTTTAAAACTTTTTTCTTTTAATACGTTTCTGAAAGTTCTGCCTGATAATCACGGATTATATCTGGAGGCCCACTCGCTAAAAGCAGGTTGAGTCATAAGCAGGTTGTAAGAGTCCAGGAGACCTGCAGTGATGACTAAGAGAGTCATTATTTGATAAAAAGGGAAAAAATAGGTATTGGGTTGAAAGGAAGGCTGGGGAAGCATGAAGAACTTCTTGAACAAGAGGGGAAAAAAAACCACTTGGAAGCTAGCTGGCAGGATGAGCGGGGACCGGAGAAAACCGGTCTTGTGCGGTGGGACTCGCTGCTGCATTTTAATCACATCTCTGTGTGACTGGTTTTTTTCCTCGTTCTGTTTTTTCATCAAGTGAAAAAGGACACAGAGGGGATTCAGCAGGAATGTAGCTCTTTAAACTTTCTGCTTTTTTCTGCCCTTTGCACATTTTTAGATTGACATCTGGAAATTTATCATCGTAAGTTCAAAGAGAGGTAAACATATTTTTTTGTAACCTTGTAAATACTGACAGTTTAAAATGAGACTCTTGCATCATTCTTTTAACAGCTTCGATGAGTTCTAACTAAAGGCTATGGTATTTTAATATCCACTGTCACTCATTAAAATATAAATGGACAAGTGCTCAAACAGAGAGACATTTAACACCATTATCTTCTCTTCTTGAACTCTCATTCTTATTCCCTATGGAATTTTATTCGAATGTCAAACATTTTTATATTGAAAGTCTGCTCTTGATCATGCTATTATATGTCCTAACAATATGCAAAATGAAATTTTATGCAAAAACCTTAGTGTGCCCAGAGTGTTAAAATAAGTAAATAAAAGCATTGAAATAAGTAAGTAAAAGCATGGTATACAACTAGTAAATGATAGAGTACTAATGGGAACCTGGGACTGTGCTCTGGCCTCCAGGTCTTATCCATTCTACCCTGCAGTACTCTGGAATGTCAGAGAAGAAGCCCTAAGTCATGAGGAGATTCAAGATTCTTTTCTCCTGGAAAGTATTTTGAAGATCATTGTGAAAGGAAAGGCGGGAAAGGAGAGCCAGAATGACTTTTCAGGCTCAGGAAAACAGATCAGTTTTCCAGAACAGTCCATATGTAAGTTGGAAATTAATACTCTTAAAAATCTCTTTGCTTACCTATCTCTTTGGGAAGTCATTGCTCACCTCTGGGGCAAAATTATTTCAGGTTAGCTTTATTCATGTTGTATTTTAGGCCTGATAATTCTTTGTTATTGAGGCTGTTCTGGGCATCGTAGAGCCTGTGGTAGCATCCTAGACCTCTAATGTCTGCAGATATTGTTGAATGCCACCTAGGCCCAGTGGGTGTGGGAAGCATTTCAAATTGAGAAACTTTGATTTGGGACCATGCATATGCTATCTTGAAGACTGATTCTTTATTTAGCTTGTTTAAGACTGTGAAAAAGGCTCAAATCAGTCAAATGTATCATTTTAATTTTATTTGGGAAAAGGCAAGACTGGTTGCTTTTGCTTGAATTCTCTTCTCTCAAAAATAAGGAGTTGTTGAATTCATAGGGTAAAGAAGTTGTTGAATCTATGTCAAAAGTATTTGTGCCTGACCGAACATTGGATCTTGAGAGAATCAAAATCAACTTAGAATAAACCAAAAGTCAAGTGTCACTTACATTGGCATGTGTTTTGAGAAATGGACCATTAGGTGATTTTGTCATTTTGCAAACATCACAGAATGAACTTACACCACCAAGGTAGCCACGACATCATTAGGTGCTAGAATCTTATGGAACCAACGTCATATGTGTGGTCTCTTGTTGTCTGAAATGTCATTTCGCAGCTCATGATTATATTTAAAGACATGGGGAAAGAGGAAGAATGGAAAAGAGGGGAGAAGTTACTAACAGAAAAATCACAATGCAAACTGCCATCTATTCTGTGCCAACCACTCTGATAAATGTATTATTCTGACTATCATGTTGACTAATCACAACAACCCTAGAGGTAGTTATAATCATTTGTTAGTTAAGATAGGGTGAGGCTGTCATAACAAAAGACTAAAAATATTCAGTAACGAAGGCGAATTACAAATGTCTTTCTCTGCAGGCGAAGGCTGGGTGGAGTGTTGTTGCTCTGCTCCCCTGAATACCTGGCTTCCCACCTCATGATCCCAGATGGCAGCTTCCCATTCTACTATCTGGTTTGCATCCCAGCCAGGGAGAAGGATGCAAACAGGAAGGTGATGGTATGTAATTTTCTTTTAAAGGCACAGTCTACAAGTAACACGCTTCATTCCATTCACACCCCGGTGGCTCGACCCAGCAAAGGCTTTGTGAACTTCAGCAAGGCTGCCATTTGCCCAGCTACCAGAGTTGGAAGACTGTGGTTTGGGATCCATCAACTTTTTTTCTTGGTAAATTAACTTTTATGTAGCATAGCTACTCCCATTCATTTATGTTGTCTATGTTGCTTTCTGGATATTATGCCACTGTTATTGCCACTGTTATGAATGGCTCTGATAAAATTGGATAACCCATAAAACTTAAAATATTGCTCTCTGGCCTTTAAAATAGCTTGCTAGTAGAAGCATATGATAGGCATCTGGGGCCACCTCAAACTCTGTCAAGATTTTTATTTAACACATGAAGAAACAGAGGCACATAGAGAGTGCCTAAATGGCCCAGGATTGTGTACTGGTAAGTGGCACAGTTCAAGGCGGAACATGCTTCTATTTGACTCCAGAGACAAGGCATCGTTCACTGTATCATATTGCCTCATTAAATCACTCAGCAAATATTTATTGTGTCTGGTCTGTGCCAAACTGTGCTCCAGGAATTGAGAATTCAGCAGTGGATAAAAGAGAGGACATCCCTGCTCTTACAGAACCTATTTTAAAAGAGACAGATTAGTAGACAGAATTCAATAAAATGTGTTACATGCTATGGGTTTTAGGTGCTGCACATAAAAATGAATCAGGATAGAAGAGAAGCCAGTAACAGAGTGGGGGTAGGGATGGATTTCCAAACGAACCGGCTCATGATGGCCTCAGTATTAGGGACCACAAACAGAGTGAGCCTGAGCCAAAGCTCTTGAGGAGGAGGTGGGAGCCTGAGCTGAGACCATCCAATAAGGGGCCTGAGTTCCCCCTCACAGAGGAGGTCGCAGCAAGGGCCAGGAGCTGGACAAGAACAGGAGTCAAAAGAACAAAGAGAGCAGTGTGGATGTCCACGGCTTGTGTGGCTTGTGTGTGGTGGGGAGCCGTACATAGTGGGCAAGGAAGAAGAAGCGTCGCTAAAAGACACACAATTGCGGTGGAGAGTTTGCCTTTAACCTTTCTAGGGGAATTCCAAAACCCCAGGCGCACAGAAAAAAATACATATGCATATACACGAGCACAGATAATAGCTGCCTGCGTGAGCAGCATTTGGAATCACGCAGAGCTGTGAGTCTCACCTCTGTCCCAGAGTTCTTTGATAACTTCATGGATGTTGTTAGTGCTGTCATTAGCCATGATTAATTGAGCACTTTCAGTGTGGTAGGTGCTTAACATACATGATCTCATCTAATCCTTACCTAACTCTATAGATATTAATATTCTTTTAAATTATCTTCAAATTAAACGTTTAAGTGGTGATAGGTAACTCTTAAGAAGTAATGAGAAAGGTACAATTTTCCTCTTGTGCATTTATATTGCTTTCTCTATTTTTCAGCATCATGACTAGTAATGTTGGTTAATGCTTCTATGGGGGATGTTTTGATAAAGTTTTATTTTGTAAGCAAAAATATTTAATGGTCCTTTAGTGTTCACTGTGTGCCAGGCATTATTCTAATTACTTTAAAGGTTCTCCTCAAGCAATACTGTGAGGAGATACTCTTCTTATCCTCGTTTTCCAGATGAGAAAACTGATGTTCAGAGAGGTTAAGTAACTTGTTCAAGGTCACACAGCCAGCAACTTGAGAGGCTGCAATTTGATTCTAGGCAGTCTAGCTCTGAAGTTTATGTGTTTAATTGGTACACCACACTGCCTAGGAAAATTGAAGGGAAAAACATGCTAGTTTCTCCTTCACTGATGATATGGAAAGCCTGTTTATTTGGTACTTGTGATCTAAACTATGGCCATTATCTCTCCAATATCAACATATTTGAAGCACAGACAAAGTCCTTGTATGAGAGAAATATGCCTCTAAAGACTGATCCAGGAAAATCCAGATACAAAAGAATAGCAATAATTATAACACACATTCCTTTTCTCTTTGTATATGTGAGTTCCTATAAGCATGTGTGTGTGTGTGTGTGTGTGTTTGTGTGTGTGTGTGTGTGTTTATGTGTGTGTGTGTGTGTGTGTGTGTGTGTGTGTGTGTGTGTGTGTGTGTGTTTATGTGTGTATGCATGCAAGATGAGTCTAACCAGTAGTTTTACATGCCAGTTCCTGGGCTTTCTTCCTTGAAGCCTAAATTCCAGTCTTTTAAGGGACCAAGATTTACAAATCAGAAACCTTTATTCTCTTTCAAGAAATATTTCTGGTTTCACAGAATCTACTGTTCCCAGGGACTGCTGTCCTTCTGCTTGAGAGACAGAGCTCCTAAGGAGGACAAGCAGTCCAGCAACACCGATGGAATGATCTCCCACATCATGTCAGCCCTGATGTCAGTGCTCTAAAAAGGGGGAATAGACTGGCTTGCTGTCTGCCCTGCCATTTCTTGGAATTTTATATGTTTGGTGAAGAATTTCCTTGGAAATTTTTGCTGTCCAAATTCCCATAAAGGATTCCAGATGTGGGCTCTACATATGTGAGTTTGTTTAGTATGTGAGTTTGGTGGTCTAAACTTGCTGGTAGTGTGACTGTACCCTGGATTGTTCCTTTAGTCTCATCCTCCTTATCTCATACCCTAGCTGCGTGACAGGTTCCATTAATTGCAAGAAATAGTTTTCTGAAGGCAAATATAATCGGCCTTGATGAGGACCAAACCCCAGGCTACGCCCTCAACACTGCAGAGCTGTCACCAGTGCTAGAACTCGATTGTGAGAAATCTAAGTGATAGAGTGACCTGATACATTGCTATGGAGAAGCCAAGATTTCCTGGGGACCTTTTGCTTTATATGGGGCCAGGAAATACCACTATGATGGTAACTGAGTTTATCATTCTGGGGTTTGGAGACCTCAAGGAACTGAATCCTTTGCTCTTCCTGCTGTTTGGTGGTATCTACTTAGCCACCATTTCCGGAAATCTTCTTCTTGTGGCACTGGTGATCACACAACGGAGACTCCAGACCCCAATGTACTTTTTCCTGGCGAACCTCTCATGCCTGGAGGTGTGTTATACATCCAACATTGTGCCCAAGATGCTGGTGGACTTGTTGAGGGAAAATAAAGTGATCTCCATGGTGGGTTGTGTTATCCAACTCTACTTCTTTGGAGCCCTGGGCAGCACTGAATGTTATCTGCTGGCTGTGATGTCATATGATCGCTACCTGGCTGTCTGCCGACCCTTGCATTATTCAACACTGATGCACAGAGCCATGTGTGGAGGGCTAGTAATTGGCTCATGGTTTACTGGCTTCACAGTGGCAGCTGCATTCCAGGCTGCCATGGTATCTAGCTTGACCTTCTGTGGTGACAATGAGATTGACCACTTCTTCTGTGACTTGAAACCTCTGCAGAAGCTTTCCTGCTCAGATCCATATCTGGTCAACATAGTCTGCATGAGTCTTACAGCCCTTGTGACACTGGCTCCCTTTGGACTAACTTTAGGCTCCTACTGGAGGATTCTTTCAGTGGTCTTGCATATACCTTCTAATACTGGTAGGCAAAAGGCATTCTCCACATGCTCGTCTCATCTAGTAGTAGTAACTCTGTTTTATGGAACCTTAATTCTCGTCTATGCTGTTCCTTTAGCTGGCCAGTTGCCAGCTGTCAACAAGACTTTCTCCTTGCTCTACACTGTTGTTACTCCCATGTGCAACCCTCTTATCTACAGCCTCAAAAATAGAGATGTCAGGGAGGCTCTGAGAAACCTTGGGATTTGATCTTGTTATCAAGAAGTCAAAGCGCTTTTCCTATCCTCAAGGAAGTTCTGGTTGGATTAGGACAGTACACAATAGAATAAAATTTGTATAACCCCAAGTATAAACTAATCCCCAAATCCAATGTTTTCAGGAGACAATTTGTCCCAAGATGCTGATGGAATGAACTGGTTTTCCTTAAGCTTATTTACAATGTGAGAGGAGAAAAATAGTTCCTAGTCAATGGGAGGGGAACCATTCTGGGATACACAATAAATTAGGACTACATATAATCCCTCCAAGAGCTTAACCATGGAACTAAGAATTTGCAGGTACACTTTAGCTGTGTCCGTCTTGAAATATCACACTGAATCTCATTCATATGTACAAGTAATAAATGTTAATCCAAAGCTCAAAATTAGGTGATTCTTGTTTTTGTCCAATTAGGGAGATGCTGCTCTGATTTTGAAAAGAAAATAAAAAGCAAGACACCATAAACACATACTTTGAAAGAGACCATTGAAAACTTCAATCAGTGAAATAAGTGAGAAAATAAATAAGTCATACTGGAAAATTCTGGGGTTGGAGGAGAAGTGATAGTTACAACCCCCCGCCCCCCATGAAAATGGAGGTGCTCCCAAAGTGAAGAGGCTGTGTTTCCTTCCATACTTAATCTAGAGCTCTGGTCAGTCAGCTGACTCTGTTAAATGGTTAATTATATTACTGTACCTCCCTTAGCCTGGAATAACAAAAATAAAGACAAAATTAAACATAATATATGGAAAGCCACTAGTAGAGTAGTTTTCGAGAAATGTGCATTAAGCACTTACAGCAATTTATTAGACGTGTGGGTTGCCTCCAGTAGTTTTTTCCTACATTGAGTTTTCTGGGGCATTTATAGCTTCCCACTGTGTTTTCATTTCTTTCTTTGTGTTCTCATCCCAGGTCCTTCTGCTGAGTCCCTGAGTTTGCCGTGCTGCCTCAATTATATTTCTGTTTCTTGTTTTCATATTTCTTTCCAGCTACCTAACATAATTAATTGGCATATTAAAGGTATACTCTGAGACAAAGAGAAAGGCAGAGCAAAACGATTTTTCTCTGAAAAGGGAGAAAATATATATCTTCATTTCTTCAATCAAAAATACTTATTGAGAGCCTAATATTATTCATGCATTATATTAGGTGCTAGGAATAAAATAATAAACAATGTGGACAGTTTCCAAGCATGATGATATTGTAGGCTGATGACCTTAGTTGCTCAAAATGTATGTTTTCACATTGTTTATAAAATATGTAGATCCGGAAAGAACTACCTATAAAAAGAATCTCTGCAAATAAAATTCCAATGTTCTCATTTACCTTAGTTTTAAAAGCATTATATAATAATGAGAAGCAACCTAATGTAAAGGCCTAACAAAATTTTTAGTGAAGCTCATGAACAAACAGAAATGCTCAGTACGGCCTTTAATAGTTCTGCTCTTTTTATGCATAAGTCTTATTTTCCCATGATATTGTAAATCTTTTGAAGACAGGAACAGAAAATC